TTTTTTATGAACTTTGATGAAAATAATTATTTGTTATCCTTTTAAACTTTTTTCACTTGCATAGAAAACGAATTAAAAACATTTTATTTTCTTTAAAAAATTACATTAAGTTATTTATGTAATTAATTTTAGTAGTGTATTTTAAATTATAAATTAAACTATCTAAATAGAAGTTACTCACTCCTTAAACATATAATAATTATGTTTAAGCTGCCTTATATATTTGAATGTAAAAATTCTTAAATTAAAATTATGACGTATACAAACATATTTAATAATTCTCTCTTTTATACTATAAAATATAAATTATTAAATAAAAAAATAACTATTAATATTAAAGACTTCCTCTCAACTAATGATTTAATTTGAAAATTTTAATATAATACAGGTTATACAACATTTACATCTGTGTACTTAAATACAAAATTATTTCTATTTTATACTATTTTCACAACAAAATAGAAAAAGACATAAACCGCAAAACATGGACCAGGTGGGAGGTCCAAGGTTTTTAGGTGAGGAAAAATCTAAAAAACTGAAAATTACGGGGGCTATCACGTAAGCCACAAAAACTAGCCGTCAATTTTTTTATAAAAATAATTAATTAAACTGAAAAATCAGTTGGTCATGTCCATTAACCCAATCAGAAGAAACATTTTAGCTCTAAACCGCGAATTCTACTCTCATGATAAACAGTAATGGCGTTAGCTGCATCTCCTTCGCATCTTCATCTGCTTCAATTGTCCGGCCACTCGCCATCTCCGGCGGCGCATTACCTTCTACTAGCGTCGCCATGGCCGAATTCCACTTCAATTTCTTTGAAGAGTAGTCAGATTCATCTCTCTCCGGTCGCACTGAAAGTCGCCTCGAAGATAACGTGTTCCGCGAGATCGTCGACGGAGGAGGATAGTTTGAGCGACTCGGACAGTCTAGCCGCTGATAATGAAGGTGGAGAGGAAGGGAGGGAGGATAAGAAACTGCAGCACCAGAGTTCGGCCGTCGCGACGCAGAGGTCTGCAGTCTCGTCGGGCGATTTTCTTTCCCTTGGAATTCGCGAACCTGTATATGAGGTCTGTTTTCTTTTCTGGAGGTGGCTCTTTGGAATTCTTATAATACTTGTTTTTACTTAGAGTTTGTTCATCTTTTCCTAATTGTCAAGTGTTCTTCCTGAAGGTAGTAGAAATAAAGTTCGATGGTAAAGTGTCTATAAGGAAGATAAACAGGCGTCAGTTATTGAAATCAAGCGGTGAGTACAGTCTTCTTTTTAACAAACTAAAAGAACTAAAACAATACTGAATTTTTTCAACTATCATCAGGTCTGCGTCCAAGAGATATCCGGAGTGTTGATCCATCATTGTTTTTAACAAACTCAATGCCGTCTCTGCTGGTAATATGCATCCTGTAGCATGATATTGTTTTCTTGTTCACCTTATTTTCATGATTGAATTTGGTTGGATACTGATTTTCCGCAACCCTGCCTCTCCCATTGCATTTCTGTATTTTTGGGACTTCTTAAACTTTTACTATTTGTACTCCAGTCTTTGGGAGATCTGATGTCTAAAATTTTTATTGGTTGGTTGGTTAGTTTTCATTTCATGCTCACAGGTTTTTTTCTGGTTGATGGTCTAGGTACGTGAGCATGCAATTTTGCTAAATCTGGGGTCATTACGAGCCATAGCAATGCAAGAGCGTGTCCTTATTTTTGACTATAATTGGTAACCTTTGCTTCTGGAACATTTGGAATATGATCTCTTTTTCTGATCTTATTGTTCACATAATTCTGTTGTGAACTTGCACTAATGAATTAAATGTGTTCGTTCGTCCCTTTTAGTAAAGGAGGGAAAGCTTTCATAGATGTATTGTTGCCACGACTAAACCCCAAAAATATGAATGGAGGGCCCTGTATGCCATTTGAGCTTGAGGTTAGTATTTTGTTCAGAATCTTTTTGCTTGTTCTTGCTGGTACAAGAAGGTGATTTGTGTATGGTTTACTGGTTTGAAGCAGTAGTTTCACATAAAAGGTAGTCATATTGAAATTTACTCTGAAATTCATCTGGTGGAGATCACCCTCTAATGAAAAAGAAAAGCAATGCTCATCCATTGCTTTATAAGGCTGACAGGAAGAGCATTTAATCAAGCCTTCTTCACTGCTGCCATCCTCAAGTTTGTAGTAATTGTAGAGAGGTCTTTGGATCTTCAGCATAGCTCTTGAAGATGATATTCTTCTTATGCAATGAATGCTATGCATTTCAATCATTATGGCTTTTTGAGAGACATCTGGTGTGACACTTTCAGGTTGTTGAAGCGGCACTGCTTTCACGAATACAGCGACTGGAGCAGAGGCTAATGGATTTAGAACCTCGTGTGAGTATGGAAACATAGTGAGTACAATTTATTTTTTATTTTTCCCTCTCTTTTGGTTTTGACTAGCTTAATCATCAAATAAAACTCTTCTTGTACTGAAGCTGCAAATTACTATGCTCCTGTCCTGTACATCTTTAGGTCAATTATTAGTGTTGGTAAAATTTATCAGCCTTGTATTTCGAAGATATATCAACAAAATGGATTATGCATTTCTCTAAGGACTAAAATGTCTTTACAACAGAAATTGGACATTTATACCCAAAGAAAATTTTTAACATGTAGAAGAAGATATACTTGTCTTTCTATTATCTTTTATTCAATAACCCAATGAAATTTGAAGGAACAAAGTAAAGCTCAACATATGCAACTAGCCTGCTTTGCTAATCTAAGTTTAACTTGGTCTCAGCTTGAGATTGAGAAAAGCTCAGATGAACCAGCTTGAGAAAGGAGATACATTGCTCAGTTTGGCCCATTTAGGTGATATAGTCTACTACGATCATAGGCATGTGTCAAGAATGATATATTCTGAGCTATATTATCTCATATTACTGATTAGAACAGCTTTTCATCAACTGTTTTTCACCAAGGGCTTTCAAATGAAGTAAATTCAATGAAAACTAGAAATTGCCCACATCAATGACAAAGATACTTAATCACAATCACTGCTCTGCCATTTGCTTCAGGTTCAAGCTTTGCTTGAAGTTTTGCCTAACCGCTTAACTGGAGATATATTGGAGCAACTTCGAATTAGCAAGCAAACCTTGGTATGTTAACTGTATAGGAACTTGCCTTTAGTAACATTACATAAAGATATTCAGTATTAATTATTCCTTTGCTTCATTTTATTATGTAAGGTTGAATTGGGTTCAAGAGCAGGGGCGCTTGGGCAAATGCTACTTGATCTTTTGGAAGACCCACATGAAATACGACGTATATGCATTATGGGGAGAGACTGTACTCTTAGGAAGGGAAATGATGACATGGAATGTTCTGTTCCCTCAGAAAAGCAAATTGCTGAGGGTAAGCTTATTAGATGTTCTGTTTGGCATATGGTTACATAAGCCTCACTTGGTTTGTTTTGGTCATTTTGCAGAAGAGGAGGAAGAAATTGAGATGCTTCTGGAAAATTATCTTCAAAGGTCTAACTGCAATCCCTTCTCTCATGCATATCTTGTGTAGTTGTGCATGTTTGAAAGTAACATGTCTTGTTTTTTGGACATTCCAAAAGTGAGGCAATTTTGTTCTTGCTTAGACTATCCTTTCTGTGGTAAAATCTAACTTCAAAACCATTATTTTCCCTTGCAGATGTGAATCTTGTCATGGTCATGCAGAAAGGCTTCTTGATTCTGCAAAAGAAATGGAGGATTCCATTGCTGTTAATTTAAGGTGTAGATGAAGTTTTGATTGCCTTCCCTGCTTATCATCTGTACACTTTCTGCCTGTCACTTGGTCAATATCTGATGCTTGAGTTAATTCCTATTGGTTAAGTAGTTAGGACTTAGAAGTTTCTTGTTTGAATTGGAGTGAAATTTATATAAGCAAAATTTGGATGTTCTTTTCTTTGTTGTTTTATTCTCTCTTTCTCCAACACAAATGCTTCCTTTGCATTTAAGGTTAGTAGTTGCTGCTCAAAAAGTCCATTTCCGCCTGATGCTACATTGATGGTCCAAGCTTGTAGGGTCATTTTTTGGTGTTTCTTTATTTTGACTGTATTTGTAATCTCTGAATACACTTCTTTAGTTGTCAAGGAATTCAATTGCCTTTTCTTTTATCAGTGCTCGGCGGCTTGAGGTCAGCAGAGTGGAATTACTTCTTCAGGTTGGGGCATTTTGTGTGGCAGTTGGTGCACTAATTGCAGGTATGTCCTTGCAAGAAATAACTATTGAGCCTGTATTAGTTATATGCTGGAATTGCTTTCACAACAAGTGATTTGTTTTACTATAACACTTTAATAGATATGATGTCTTATTGTCTGTAATATCTCATGACTTACCAAGATGCTTGTCTTCTGCAACTAATGTTATTGGACCTCATAAATTGCAGCTGCGACAAACATATAATAAATTTACTTACTAGCTTGTCAGGATCTCAATGGTTTATCTTGTATAGAAACTCTCAAATCTCAGTATTGAGGTTTTACAATCTCATTGAATGCTTGATTGTCATGTTATAGATTGAATTATTATAAGTTGATTTTATAACATATTAGGCATGTTAATGCATTTATTCTAGAAATGTGGCAGTAAGGGGGATGCTGATCTCGATAGGATGCATTGTAATCTCTTCCCTGGTGCACCAAATACCTTGTCAAGAAACTTAAAAGTATTTTTTAATGTTTATAGGTATCTTTGGCATGAACTTAAAGTCCTATCTTGAAGAACATGTGGTATGTTTTTCTATGAAAATTTTAACTCATTTAAATTTTACCATTCAGTTCCTCCTCAAGGTTCCGTCCCTTGCTTACTCCAATTCACTGTTTTTTATGATTATTATTGTTGTTATTATTATTATTATTATTATTATTACTATTACTTTTTGATATTAGGGGTGGGATCTGAACCCATCTCTTTTGGATGGGGGGACATGCACTCTATTGATTAAGCTACAAGCTCAAGTGCTGCTAATTCACTGTTTTGTTCAATTGCAATGCAGTTCGCTTTTTGGCTAACAACAGCGGGGATAATTTTTGGTGCTGTTGTGGCATTTTTTCTTACGTACTCCTATCTTAAGACTAGAAAAATTCTGTAACTAAGGAGATGATCCAAGTTTAGGTAAGGCTTCTTTTCCAAAGACTTGGTAGCATTACCGTGCACTTGTATTGATATCAAAAAAGTGGCCACTGATCACGGAGCTCAAAGTTGGGTGGTTCCCACTCCATCAATGGTCATGACTGCAAATTCGTTTTCATATATCAAGCTACCTTGGTTACTTATCAAACACATTGATTATTTCAGGCATTTATGGTTTCATTCCAGGAGTTCAATCACAAGATTGAAATGGAGGAGTCATCAGATGAATACCTCACTTCAGTTAATAAAGTTCTATCTTCTGCAGCAAAGGACCTCTGTTACACTAGGCGGGCACACGACGACCCCGTAATTATTAAGTGCTTCACAACCGGTGCGTGCTTCACAACCAGTGCTTGGATTTTATTGATAAACTGTTCTTGTTGTATAGATAGTCCCACTTGATTCTACAAAGATTGCGTTACCATGCTAAATTCGATTTTTCCGAGTACGTTCCCTTTATAAAATAAATAGTGCCATTTAATCTGTCTTGCACTTATATCACCCATGGCATGCTAAGATGCTAGATTGCAATATTCTTTTTTTTGGAACAATGTTGTCATGGGGCAGGCTCGAACTCGCCCAAAAGGGAGGGGGATGCACCTAGATTGCAATATTCAATGTGGTAGAAAACTGAGCGTTAATTAATTATGAGTTTTTTTTATTTATATCCGTATAAGATATAGGTTAAAAATATGTTAATTATATATTTTTATAATTTATTTATTTAAAAAATTAAAAATTAATTTTAATTTTATCAA